ACGTACCGTCTGCAACTAAAACACAACGACGCATGTCTCGTAGTTGTCGTTTACCACCCCCAAGGTCCACTCCGGAATTGGATTCCCGCTTGCTACGTGTCTTGAACAGAGTAACATGCTTTACGTACAGCTAAATTCTCATCTCTGGGGATTTCAAATTACACGATCGAGAAGTAGCTGCATCAACCAATTAATAGTTTATTAGGAGAATAGCTATTAGAGCTTAATGTCCATTCTTTATTCTTCCTATTTTCTACTACTTGACTGTTTTTTAAATGCTCCACTGTGTTAGCCCGATTGGTGCACACACCTCATTGTTAGTGCACGCTCATCTCCGTGTCCTTTTCAGCAGTCATTGGCAAGAACACATTTCATTGGCTTATCTGCATCACTTTCCTACTTGGTTATGTTAAAGGAATATTTAGTTGTCAGACAGTTATTGTACTAGTTTTTAATTTTTTGGTTTGCAGTTATCATTCTCGTTTGTTTCGTGTCATTCGTATAAATGCTACATTTCGTTATTCTGATTAGCCAGTGCCCGTCACTGTAAATAGATGTTCGCTTTAAGTTTGGGGTCCCATGATGCTATTTTTAAGGACATATGCGATTCGCTCTTGAGTACACGGTAGTGTAGCAGTCTGGAGATTCTAAGGTTTGCCTGTGTAAAGTTCTAACTAAAATTATTTCATTGTACACCTAGGCAAGCGGTGTAGTTTGTTGAACTGATTGCTGAGTTCAAATGCTTGACTTGCTCATCGTCATTTTTGCTTGGCGCTCGTTTCGGTTGCAACTCGCGACTGCCCCGTGTGCTGTGCATGACCGTTCCCCTAGCTAGAGCGTGCACGGTGTCGTTCCTTTATAGCTAGATAACAGGGAATCTTTCACTGTACCAATAAAAGTTTCCCTGCAACTCGATCTGTCTTTTCGAATCGCTCTCCGGGCTCCCGATACAGGCGACACACTAAAGTAGCTTATTCGCCGTTGCATTTGACGTTTTCCTTCTGCTGGTTGGCTCAAGTGCAATTTAGTAGCTTCCCTGCATTTTGCCTTCAAAACTATGTAAGCAAATGTGATTTCCTGTATACAAGTCCCTTTCTGACTCCTTTTTGGGCTTCTTCTTGCGGTCGTGGGGTGAAGGCGTCAGTGGCGACACAACACAGTTCAAAGCAGATTAGCATGAACTCATCGCTACTAATCCTTTTAACTCATGTCAACACGCCCACTAGATTCAGGATGGCAAACAAACCGTCCATATTGAACCTTGTGCTCAAGAATGAAGAGCTCATGGTTGACAAGTTATTGATGGATAGGCCATTAGGTCTCAGTGACCATGTGGTAATAACATTCAACTATGTTTATTTTGCAGAGTATCCATCTGAACACTCGGAACTAGCTCATAAAATCACATACTACCAAGTCTTTAAAGAACTTGTCGACGCATCTGCTTAATAATTCTCACACAACAGTCCCCTTGACAACATATGGACAGAGTTCGTTGAAAGACTCAGCGACATCGTCAACAAAGAATCAGAGACCAAGCCCATTCGTGCCGCAAAAGTGTCTTCATTTCTAAGGAGCAGGACTCGAAAATGCCTGGCGATAAGGGATGCAGCATGGCTTGCCTACAAGGTTAATCCCAACTCAGAGACTTGGAGTGATTTCCTGATCCATCGCAACCATTGCACTTCACTTGTCCGTGAGGACAAAGTAACTTATCAACAGTACCTAGCCAAAGCTATCTTGGCAAACAACAACCTGCTGTATAGGCATGTCAACAATCTTCGTAATGTGAAGCATGGCATTTCTCCAAGGTTCACGACATGCGGTAGAGTACAAATTGCCGAAGAAGCAGCTAGTGCCGTGCGGCTAGAATACGCCTCAATCTTCAAACTTGCAGCCTCTACCTGTCACATAATTTCATGCACATTACTGACTCCATTGCTTACGCATGTAATATTTAATTACTCAATGGTGTTAAGGAAGTTACTCTCACTGCGTGATCATAGCTCTCCGGAAGCCGACAACATCCGTAGAAAAGCATTGAAGGTTGTAGCCATCAAGCTAGCTGAACCATTGTCACAGTCCTTCCAAAGTCGTTTCGATGAACAGCAAGTCCCCACCATGTGGAAGCGTGGCATTATCACCACAATATTTAAAGGCGATAACCGTTCAGATCCTGCAAACTATCGACCAATGACTCCCCTTCCGTTGCTCGCGAAGGTGATGGAATCGGTCGTCGCTGAGGCTCTAATGGACTACCTGGAAAATGCAACATCTTGGCACCGGAGCAGCATGGCTTCCGTCAACACCGGTCATGCACCACCAACCTACTGATTGCACGAGGTAGTTGGACGGAAGTGGCTGATGATGGGGTCGGAGTTGACGTCATCTATCTGGACTTCTCCAAAGCTTTCGACCGCCTGGATCACCGCATCCTACTTCACCGGCTACAGAGCTACGGAATCGGAGATCCTGTTCTTGGTTGGATTGGCAACTTTCTTCACCAACGGAAGCTTCAAGTGCGTGTTAGGGGATCACTCTCTAACCCGATTGAGGTGGAATGTGGTGTCCCACAAGGCTCAGTGCTGGGACCGCGCTTATTCCTGGTGTTTATCAACGACCTGGCAAGAGTTATCTCCTCAAATTTCCTGCTTTTCGCCGATGACGTCAAGATATGGCGGGCGATTAGTAACAATGAAGATCACGATCTACTCCAACATGACCTAGATTGCATTTATGAATGGGCAAAGAGGAACCTGCTTCAATTGAACATAGCTAAATTCAAGGTGATACATCTGCGTCACCAGCCGGTGAACGTATACAATCTTAGAGAACACACTTCGCAGAATGCCTCTTAGGAGTATACTGGTACAGGAAGATCTCGAGTGCTCAAAGCAGGCAAAGAAGGCGTCAAGAACAAACAATCAACCATACGGCCTTCTTCGCAGAGCGTTCGGTGGATTTGAACCATCAATCTTTCCCCAAATGCTTAACGCCTACGTGCGACCGCACGTGGAATATGCTATCCAGGCGTGGCAACCGTGGCAGAATCAGGATCTCGTTGCTTTTGAGGCTCCTCAACAAAGGATAACCAAGAATTTCAGTGACCTCTTTCATCTGCCTTATCAGCTTAGACTGAAGTCTCTAAAAATGTTCAGCAGTCGATTTCGGCGTTTGCGTGGATCTCATAATGGTTTACCAGATTCAGAAGAACCCAAACCACAGTTGCCATTCTCTGTTGGAATTGAACCACAACACTAACCTAAGAGGTCATCCTCTGAAACTGACAGTACGGTATAGTTGGCGTGAATACCATCGAAATTTCTTTTCCTTCCGCGTGTTCCAGCCTTGGAACTCCCTCCCTAATTATGTCGTCTCTGCTCCCAGTCTGGCGATATTCAAAAAACAAGTTGCCGATGCGTCGTCTCATTTGCATGTCATTTTAGAACTTAGTAACCAGAGAGCTGCAAAACGTAATCAAACGGTGTTTTACCATAATCCCAACCAATGGATTTATACTTTTAATACGCGAAAATCTCCGCTATTCTACATAGGTCTATTGTGAGTCCACCAATACGCTTTTCACTTTATCATGCAACTTACTTCTCGCAATAATTTCCATTCCACAAGACTTGTAAAGCTCTGCTTTTTTACCCGTAATACACCATTGTTCCAAATTCTCATATGGTATTATTAGCTAACTTCATCAGCTACGAACTATTAAGGATTAATCGGTTATTGTGGTCACCTACGTCTCCTATGGCTACTTCGTGAGGGGACACGGGTGCGAAGCACATCAGGATTCCAGAGAACTAGAAACTGCCATTAAAGTCCAGAAGAATGCACGTACATGATAGTGCTACTCAATATACACATAGCCGCATGACTGGATTAGGTTTCAAAGAATCTTCGTAATACCTCCGAAAACCTACTGTGCTCCGTTGTCTTCACCTGTATACCTTGCGCGCGAAATACTCCCTCGGATTATATTAAAGACTGCGAATTACATCCAAAGAACTCGTTTTTACTGAGCTTGTCAATTTTGTTGCAAACGTTTTGTCACCAATCGAGGTGACATCATCAGTGCGTAGTCGAGTGGCGTGTAGTAGCGTAGAAGGGCGTAGAGGAGACTCGGGACTCTCACCGAAGCTCCAATACCGGAGCATTCGTCTGGTTTACTGTGCTTTCAGCGAATGTTTTTTCTGTTCTTCTTGGTTCAGGCTTACTACCAGTCTCTCTTCGCGACCTGGTATCTGTTCGTTCCATCAGGACCGTGTTGCTCTGTCTGGTCTCACTGGTTGGGCTTGTTCCTGTTTCCACTCGCTTCGTTTTTTGTCTTCCTATCCTCCGGGTAACACTTACATTCCGTCTCCTTTCACCCCCAGAGCAACTAGCTAGAAGTGCTTGTGACACGGAGAAATGCTTATCTTAAGTGAGACTGTTTACGGATGAGCACTATACGAGTATGGAACTGGGATGCAACATGCACCAGTTGCGCAATTATTTTTACCTTCAGCCCGGCTGCTCGGTTTTAACTAGTTTAGAAATAAGTCAGCTTCGGGATAGGGTTGTTCCAGACGAGTGACAACAAAATGGGCAGAGAATAGCTTATGGTAGAGTATCGAGTTTTCAAGCGATTGCCAGCCGTTGTCCTCTGCCCTTAATCGTACAACCTAGGTGCGCTGACGTAGTTTGTTTGCATAACGGTTTTCGGTCCATAACTTTCGGGTCGCACCTCTAGTATTATAATTGGATGGCTGTGAAAAAGAGTACAACACGGTGGCACTAAATTCTTGTTGGTGTTGAGGATGACCAGCTGGATGGTGATTGTGTGAATACATGCGCTTATTTAAACCTTGTCTGTTATCCGTCCAAGTCTAATTGGGTGATCATTTGAAGGATTTCCCTGCTTTCTGTTTGCATTTAGCACCCATATTTACAAGTACTCCGATGATGCGACGATTATAACAGTGGAGCCTTTATATTGCACACTCACTTACCACAAGGAACATGGTAAACGATCGTCCCAAACATGGATAGTGTCATCCCAACCGCCAGAGATAAACAGATGAGCGTAGTCTGTATTTTCTCTCCCTCGGGGATGATATTTGAGAGCACAAATACGCATCACGTGGCCATCCACTTTGTCCGCGTTGAAGCTGAGGACGGGAATTGGAGCAGAGGGTAAAGATGCAAATTGTTTACCTTGTTGATGGCTTGGAAGTAGGTACTTGCGAAAGAAGATCTGCCCACGGCAGCACATTATGGTAGGACGCTCCGTACCAAACTGTAGGTTTTGCAGTAACATAGTATAAATGAATACGCCTCCCAAGCGGGAGTGATTATTTGTACATAGAAATAGAGTTATGGTTTACACGAATCAAAACATAACAATAAAAACTAAAAACGGAATTTCCGACTACGAGTTATCCCTCGGACCCTCGTCACGATCACTAAAATTGCAAAAAGTACAAATAGATGTACCACTGTTTTAAAATTTTCTAGGTAGCGGAACTCGGGAGCAGTCAAAAGTAGTGGAAGAGACTAGGTTACACAGGCAGATGATACACAGAGTGTAACCTGAATGTAAGCTACTGGTTTTTCATACTTTGTTTAGACTTACTTCCGTCACTGTTTCTGCCGACTGTTGTGCGCAGAGTCTAACATATTCGGGATGGTGGGAAAAGTTTCTAGAGAATTCCAGAATATGGCATGGTGGAAACTCGTGCGCACTTGTAGCGGTAGCCTGTTCCACAGATTGCAATATCTCACTAAAAAGAAAGTCGATCGGATTTTCTGACTGGCAGGCGGTGAGGTAGGCGCCACTACGGGTGGGATAGGTGGCGGTTTTCTTAGCTCGAGGGCGGAACTATCCGTTAAAAGCAGCTTATTAATAATGTTGAAGAGAAGGAGATTGTTCTTCAATCGTCTGAGCCAAAGGTGGTCCATTCGGAGGTGGCAACAAAGGTCAGTGAAATTCAGGATTGAGCAGCGGCCAATGACCGGCTTGGTAAATCATCGTTCGACATTTTCCAGAGCAGTTCTGTCTTTCTTACATAATCGGCTGTGAATAATATTACAATAGTCCAGAGTAGGTCACGTTATTTTGACTAATTTCAGTCGCGTTCCAGATGGCGGAAGTTCTGGTGATGTAGCCGGATAATTGTAAAGCTTTTGCGATTTGATACAACTGAAGGATTAGTAATATTTAAATTCCAAGACCCAAACTGATTCCGAGCTCGGGACCACGCTACGGTCAAGAGAATTAGAGCATAATGGATGCGATATCTGTACTCAGCAAGGGCAGCGGCCACTTCCATCTCTGACGCACGAAGAGACCACCAAGATTCGCGGTCTCTCTTCAGCCTAACACGGAGATTTTCCCGGAGGTCTCTGCGAGTCTCATCGTCTTCGCTTTAGCCGGAATGTGCCGGCGAGCGTAATAAGTTCCAGAGACTGCGAAGAGACCCAATACCCATGTTCGCTATCAGACTTACCACATGAGGACTAGCCTGCTGCTAGTAAAGCCTGGTGAACGTGCGACCAGTGACCTGCACATGTATTCACTGAGCGCCTACATAACACGCAGCTAAGCGTATTTTGATACACATTCAGTACACTTGGCTTCGCTAGTTGGCTGGTGTCAATGCGCGCACAGCGTCGTCGTGGGCGTCCGCCGAAACGCACCCGCAGACCAGCACATACGAGTGCAGGGTCGGTGTCCACACATGTGCTTCAAAGCGAACGACAGTTCTGGACGCAGCCCCACCCCCCAGCAGAAACTGATCGCACTGTGATCGATTTGCGTTCATGGCTGGTTCGAGGCTGCTGGGCGTCATGTCACCTTCCTACGGGGGCTGTCGGAAGTCAGTGCTCGCAAGAAATAAGCGAGCACCTTCACACCAATGAAGTAGTCGGTCACCGTTATCATTACGGGAGCCTACACCATGTTAGCTGCCCAGATGCGTTCATCAGATAGTCAGCCAGCAATACGGTGTTTGTGCTTCTTCTGTGACAAAGGAGCCCGTTTAGTTGGTGCTAGAAGTCTTTACCGAATCATCGCTACAGTTTGTGGGCGCCTAGACGGCAATGACGAATAGATACCTATTAGTCTTGCGCGACTTCTACGCTTTGAACAGGCCATCAAATCGGACGGCACACTTCCAGTCACTACTTGGGGAAGCCAACCAACCAGATCAGCTTCAGCCCGGGGGCTCAGTGCAATGCCAACACCGGTTTGGCCAGTACTCGAATTTGTGTCGTCTCCGGATAGGCGCAACCAGAAAGCACTGCTGCTGTCACCTGAACGGATCGCCAAACGAGCACAGAGCTCGAGTCTTGCATACGGGTTTCCGATAAGCAACAAATATCGATCGAGTGGGTTTCTAACGTTCGGGCAAGTGCTACTTGATTACCGATCTGTAACAACGTGCGTACCTTGAGGCCTGCCAACCTGAGGGAGGATAAAGGGCTCCAAATGTAGCCGATGAACTAGGCTTAACTGCTTGGTTGTATATGCGCTTGCCAACACGGCAGTCGATGAAAGTACATCAACGCTTGCATAGTGAGAGTCCACAAGAGAACACTGCATCTCGAAGTCAAGGAAGAAGTTGAACAAAGTGGGCAGAATGGACAACTTTGTCGGTAGTCACTGGGTGTCCGAAAGATATCTGACAAGTTACCTTAGACTTTGACGCGGCCTGTGATGCTCAAGTGTGCGACTCGTGAAATGTTCGCATATTTTATTGTATGACTTTCTGTGCAATTATTTTGAACAGAATGCATCATTCGACTGTGGCGAATGCAGTCCTGCAGTCTAAACACAGTCATTGTCGGTCAGCGATAAGTGTGAGGCTGCTCTAGTACTGCCGCACAATGAACGTATGATCTATACAGCCCGGTTTTGGATGGAAAAATGCCTTCGGTTCCTAATCCAGGAGTATCATTCAACAATGAGCTGATGAACTGGAAATGAGGTTTGTAATTATGTCACCACTGGCGTTAATCTCACACCACTATAATGAGTTCTATTATATATATATATATATATATATATATATATATATATATATATATATATCGGTGGCATACCATTCGGAATTTGTCTGTCACTGTGGCCTCCAAGGGGACGGCCACAGCACGCCTGCGCCTACAGAGGGACCATGCGTGGGTTACGCTGTACCACCCACGCACCCCATTTCCGTTGTAAAAACGAAGAAATAAGACAGGTAGGCTTGTGGATGGAAGCCACGTTGCATCAACGGAGCCGGCCCACACTCCTTCAACAAGCAGAACAAGAGCATTCCGGCCTAAATGGGAAATCATGGACACCAGTCGTACACAAGTTGGTGGCTGGGCCGTAGCCCGTTCCACACAGGATGCATGGAACCAGTCTTTGAGCCTAGCACCGTCATAAGGACGGTGCACCCCGTTCACTCAGCAACGACCAACTGTCTCCTGGAGCCAGCAATCAAGGTGGAGGGTATTAGACAGGTAGGCACCTTTTCAAGTTAAAGGGAGGTTGGTGTTCAAATGTTCGGCGACGTCACTGCAGAAGTCTGACAAATCGTCTGATTAGACCGATAGATCTCAACTTGCGACCGACTTCGCGCTTATCTACAGGATTTCAGCATGGTCAGCTTGCGAGGACTGCAAAATAAATCACCAGCGGATTGCAATTAGCTTTCTGGAAACTGAACTCTTAGACTGCTTCAGTTTAGTAGCTACGAATGACATTGAAATGAAGAGTTTTAAAAGTTGTGTATACTTAACGACCCAAATAAGGTTCTGGAGAACTCTTCTCTCCAGACAGCCATCGTTCCGTCGTTCAAGCTAAATTTCTTAAAAGGTCGGTTTGGTGCTGATCAGCCTTACGTTGACAATGAATCAACAGTTTTTCTTGCACTGTCTCGAGGGTCCGTATGGCTACTGGATGGTGCATCTGTCCCTGGACATGCAGGCTGCTAAATCAAAGTAACAGCAGCTGGAAACCGATTACCTGGACTTCAGTTAGATCGAAACCGAAAGGCAAGGATACTCATGACCTTGCCAGGCGATGTTGAAACCGGTTATCTTCAAAATTCCCACCAACATTTCAGTGATGTTTGAGGTAATCAGTTCCCTCCAGCAATTTGAAAAGCGCGGAAAGAGGACAAATACTGGTAGATGTATATAGTTCGTATTGTCTCCTCACTACCATTAACAGTAACCGATATGCCTAGAGATAGCTAACATTGGGTGTGACCAGACATTCTTGTGGTGCAGAGTGAGTGACGGTGCTGAAGAGACAATACGAAGTGCGTGCATCTACCAATGTTGGTCTTCTTTCCGCGTTTTCAAAGTTCAGTGTTGTACCAAAGAATTAATGATGGATTAGGTTGTCATCAACGCAGAGGACAGTCTCAAATGAAGCTGAGTGAAAAAAGTGAAATTAAAAACTTTTACTTATCAAAGTAGGCCGTTTACTTCACTTTTGCAACTTTTGTTCGTGTGCTAGTCCCGCATGAACACGTAGGTCACTGGTAATTTAGCTGAACTTCCGATGGTTTTGGAACGTAGCAACCGTCCGTAGGGAGATAGTGAAATAGTATGCAGACTAACCGAATAAGCCTTCAAAAAATTACTCTACCATTTATATTTGTTCAATTGTTCTGTCCAACAGTGCAAGTCAACTTTCGAACAATTCACCACTGTTCTCAAACACCACAAAACAGCAAGGGGTGTAAAACTTGTGCAGACGAAATCAACATGACCCTCCAGAGAGCAATATGGAAAGACGAAGCCTCAGTGGAAACCGCAGAGTTCTATACTATCCTAGCTCGAGGCACAGCTAGACTAGCCTCATCAGTTGCAAATACATTACTGGCATAATAAACACGTAGTATTCACCAGTTGGAAGCCCGATACTACAGATAGGCATGTATAGTGATTGGCGAGTGGTACCCAATCAAGTCTAGGACAAGCAGATTATATTCTCATGTGCCGCTGTCTTCGACTATTTCCCAACTATCACGTCGAAATAAACTCACGCTTTCTGGAGATAACCTCGAACGTGTGGCATCCATTGACCCCTAGGGGACACAAACGACACTAGTGGAATCACTAGCAACTCATGCAAGCTCAATACCCGTGATGGAGGATTAGTATCTGTGCCGTCGGA